GTTTTGGAGGGTTCTCCCACGGGGAAGGTCTGAAATTGCTTGTCTTGGAGGGTCTAGACCCCCTCCCTTTCATTACGAAATCTGGAGTATATAGCAGTTGCAGTATCGCTGCGAGTTTCTGGCGGCGTCAGGAGGTGGACAGACGCCTTGAAGGCCGCCTTGCGCTGCAGCGCCCTCTCGTGCCAGATGCATCTCGTGTCAGATACTGTATGATATCGTGGCTTGCCTTTGTCGTGGCTTGCCTTTGTGCATGTCCTGCTCCTGTTCCTCGCCCTCCTCATCCGTCGCTCCGCTTCATCTCGCTCCGTCCTCGCTGCCCAGTCCCTCCCCGCGCTTGCCATCGCTCTTCCTTCTAGACACAGCCGTCGGACTTCATAGGGGCATAGAGGTGGAGGAGGGCGGATTAGACAGACGATGGGATATGTGGTCATTTGAACACTCGCTGACGGCCCAGAGAGGCTCGAGGTGTCATGAGACACATGTGCGAGATAGGTGGCCGTGCTGCGAGATTGGCGGTCATCTGCATGAGTGTTCGTTGTTATTTGAAAACTTGCGTGGACGTCATATGTGAGATCGGCGGCCACTCGAGTGCTCATTGAGAAAAATGCGTGAGATAGGCGTCCATGTCAGCGATCATTGTTCATTGAGAACATCGGCAAAACAAATATGCGAGATCTACGGTCGTTCGAATGTTCACTGAGAACATCTGTGAGATAGGTGGTTATGTGAACGCTCATTGCGTATTGAGCGCTTGTTCTCGCCCTACGCCTTCCTCCCCCTTTTCCTTCCTTCACCTCCTCCCCCTCCTTCCTCGTTACCTTTCCTCCTCCGCCTCCTCCGCCCTCGCTCCCCTTCCTCCCTCTCCTCCTCCTCCCTCGTTCCCCTGCCTCCGCCCCCCCCCCCTCGGCCACAAAGGAGGGGGCCGCCGAACCCCTTGCATAGCGGCTCGGGCGAGGGCGCGGCGACGGCGCCCGCGACGCCAGGCAGCGATGCCGCCCATCACCTTGAACGGGGCTGCAAGACGTGCGCCGCCCAGCCCCGCCGCCCGGTGCACGAGCAGAGCTATATACACATACCGATATACAACTATACATTGAATGTGTAGATAGGTGTGTATATGTATACGCATGGACATACATAGATGCATGTATTCAGGAAGGTAGGTACGTGTATCAAGGTATGTCGGTATACATGTACAAACACTTATGGTATACCATCGTATACACATATATATATAGCCAACCATGCGCATATACAAACATGAATGCAAGCATCCACACATGCGTAAGCGTTCTCTGAGGGCTGACTTGCGCGCATCCCTTGGCGCCCCGATCGGTCAAGCCCTCTGGGCAGTGTCGTGGCCAGGCCCTCTTGGCGTGAACAACTAGCGCATGTTGGACACACACGCAGATATACACATATATATATATATAGATACAGAGAGAGATGCGCACACAAGACTTGAAGCTCGCTGTGCTTCGCGTTGAAGGCCCAAAGAGCTCAGAGGGCTCATGAGGTTCGCGAGGTTCGGAGGGCTCATAGAGCCCTGTAGGGCCCATAGGGCCCACATAGGGCTCATATGGCTCATGTGGGGCTTAAAGGGCCCATAGGGCTCGTAGGGCGAAAAGCGGGCTCATAGGGCTCCTGTGAAGGCTTATCGGGCTCATGGGGCTCATGCGTCTCGCAGGGTTCATAGGGCTATACCATCGGGAGCATAAGCTCGTAAGCCACATCTATAAGGGGTCACAAGGCCGAGAGGGCTCAAGTCTCATAGGGCTCGCAAGGGTAATGAGGCTCTTGGGCTCCTGGGGCTTATAGGACTCATAGTGCCGAGAGGGCTCACAGGGCTCGCGGTGCTCATATGGCCCGTAGGGCTCATAGAGCTCATAGGACTAAATAAAGGTCACGTGGCTCTGGGGGCGTTCAGAAGGCTCATATAGATCGATGGGTTCATAGGGCACACAAGGGCTCGTAAGGATCATAGGGCTCTCAGGGCTTGCTCATAGGGCTCAGGCACGGGCTCCTATAGGACTCATAAGGCTCATGAGGCTTATGGGGCCCATAGGGCCAATCGGGCTCATAGGGCCCGTTTGGGCTTGGAGGTCTCATATGGCTCATAGGGCCCATGGGGCTCATAGGGCTCATATGGCTCATGGGGCTCAAGGGATAGGACTCACGGGGCTCACAGAGCTCATAGGGCCGAGATGGCTCGCATAGTCATGGGGCTCGTAGGGCTCATAGGGCTCTCATGAGGCTTTCAGGGCTCATGGGGCTCATAGGGCTCATGGGGCTCGTAGGGCCCATGGGTTTAAGATCGGGAATGGGCCAAAGAATGACGCCCGCTTCCTCCCGCAAGTCTCCCCCTCATGTATAGCTGGGCTGCTCAAGCTCTCTGGGAACGGAACCCCATCTTCCTCGCTCATGCTTTCGAGCCTGTGCCAGCAATGGTGAAAAGCAGTGCTTCGCCCCGGGCAAAAACTCGTTCGGAGAAGACGAAGATGGCCGTGCACCGCAATTTCAAGCCGTTCTCTTCTGGACGCAATGGCGCAGCCAACCGCCGCCACACACAACGTCGTCTGCTGCAGCTGATGAAGATGGCTGGGGCCCCCGTCATGATCATGGCTCTCGTGGCGAAGATTGCGATGTGCCCGTACTTCGACATTTCGGAAAGCGTGGATTGGACAGAATTCTTCAGCCACTGCCTTAAAAACACACTGATCACGGATGGTTGGGGACCCACCAATTAGCAACCTAGGATGTGTGATAAGATCCTGCTCTCCCCCCTTACTCGTCCTCATCCTCCTAGCTCTCTCCCCATCTCCTCGTTGTGCCCCTATCCACTGCAAACTACAATGTGTGGCGTGGCCTCCGGCTGCTCCAACCCTCGCCACCCTTCCTCCTTTTCTCCCTCCTATCTCCTTCCTCCACTTCTATCTCCCATCTCGCCCCAGGCCCTGACCCCGACAAAAAACGGCGGGGGCGGTTGTCGAGGTTCCTGGGAACCACCGCCTGTCCAGTTCTCAGTGTGGATTGGCGTCGCTGGTGGCGTAAATGGTACGACCCCACATCGATCGAACCTTACTTTTTGTTTCGGGCGTGGCCCGAGTGTGCTTCTCGCCAGGCAATCTGATTGCACTGAGCTGAACTGAACTGACTGGTTGCACCCGTTGCGCGACTGTCTTATTCTCGGTCGCCAAGGGCTCAACCGATATGGCGCAACCGATAACACATGGTGTTATGTTTGCTGCCGAACGCGCAACCTTTGGCGCAACCGATAGGTGACGGTTTTATTGTTGGCCGCCAAGCGCAGCACAACCTATGGCGCAACCGATCGGATACGGTCTTATTCTCAACTGCCGAGGACGCAAGCTACGGCGCAACCGATAAGAATTATTGTCCGTTCGATCATGGCGCAATCGATAGGAAGCCGAGCTGGATCGGGAATGAGACCAGAAAGACGATGAGGATGAGGCGAACGAGGAGGAGGAGGAGGAGGAGGAGGAGGAAGACGATGACGATCAGGATGGGGAAGATGACGGGGAGGAATACAAGTAATACGAGGACGAAGTGTTGGAATTCCAATGCACGCGGCGCTACGCCCGATTTATGTTCGCCGTTCGGGCTGGCAATGAGGCCCAAACGGCGAGCTGACGCGTGGTTTCACATCGTGCCGAGGCGGCAAGCAGGCGGTGACAGACAGCATGATCGCCAAGGGGCTGACTGCAGTGCCATACGAGAAGCTCAACGACGCCACATACCAGAACCTCATGCATTACGCTGGCTTCTGTTATGCTTGCCTCCTGCTTGTGAAGAGCCGCGTCGGCAGCGGGTCCAACAGTGCGCCAGTGTGCAGCACGTGGGTGTGGATATCGCGGGGGACGACCAAACGACGACCATGGCAACCTCTCGGAGACCCAACCATTGAGAACGTTGCCAACGCCAACACGATGATCTCCCGGGTGATGATACTATGCTGGATCCTGGTCAGCAAAGGAATGTTACTACGTTCCGTACATTCCGCCGCTCCCCAATAGAAAAATCTCGAATGGTCCCCGACGGGCCCTGGGCCAATTGTTCATATATCCCCTGGGCCCCAAGATGGGCCCCGAAATGCTGCCCCCAAGGCCTCGGTGGGCCCCGCGCGGTGCGAAACCAATATAGCGCCGCGATGTGGGCATGCATGCGCCGCCCAAGCACACATCGATATGCCAATCGTACGAACCAAGGTTCGTGGCGGATCTTCTTCATACTCGAACAACCGAGGGGCTCGCTCATGGAATGGCACCCCAGGTTCCAGGAATTCATCAAGAGCCACAAGTTGTACAGGGTGTGTGTTGAAATGGGGCGGTTCGGGGCACCGACGGCGAAGCCGTCGTGGCTATACTCAGCACGCGAGTTCATCCAGGAGCTGCCCAACTACCAAGGTGCGAAGTCATACCAGCCAGGCCAGAACATGTTGGTCGACATGGTCCAGACCTCCGATGGCACCGTCCAAATCAACGGGAACCACCGCCTGAAGGGCAGCCAGGCGCACCCGAAGGCCTTCGGCAAGGCCGTTGCCGATCTCTACATGGCGCATCGGGCGGTCTGGGCTGTGAAATGAGTGGGGAACGCTATTGATGCGTTCAACTTGGTGTCTCCCGGTCTCTTCTCCTCCTTCTCCTCCTCCCCCTCCTCCTCCTCCTCCTCCTCCTCGACCTCCTCCTCCTCGACCTCCTCCTCCTCCTCCTCCTCCTCCTCCTCCTCCTCCTCCTCCTCCTCTTCTTGATCTCCACCGCCCCCCCGCTGCGGCGGACGGCCGCGCCTCGGGGGACATCCCCGCGGCAACAGTCGGCGTCGGAGCCTTGCGGCGGGCGGAGCGAGGAGCGAAGATGAGGGGCCATGATGACTGGGGAGCACATGGAGGAATGGAAGAAGGAGGAGCACACGGAGGAATGGAGGAAGGATCGAAGATATGGCGGCGTCGATCGGAGTCGGATCGGTCTGACGTCGGCCCCGAGGCCGAGCTCAAGACAGCAGGGCAGGCGCTGATCCAGAAATCGAGCTCTGTGAAGGTGCGCCTCGCGCGTGACATCGCCACGAATACGCTCACGGGCAAGCGCCGCTGGGCGGATGCTGACCTGAAGCCCGCGTTCGGGTACTTAGATCTGTAGGAGGTGGTATCCCCTATTGCCACCTGCGCCTCCATGGACACCAACGATGTGCATGCGCCCACCCACGCCGCTCCTGGGCCCATGCTCGGCGCGCACATTCTCCTGGCCTGGCCGTGGATGCATGTGCGCTGAGCATGGGGCCAAGAGAAGCTCGGTGAACATGTGCACGCGTCGCTTGCGTCACCCGATGCCCGTGCTGCGCGCTGCTGCGTGAGACGCGCCCTGCACACAACCTCTCCGCCATTATAAGACAAAAATAATACCACTGACGTGTCAGCCCTCCCCCCCCAACCCTCCCCCAAGCAAATCCACGCCCGTAGAATGGCCGTGAGACAGCCGCAAAGTGGCGTGTAATGCCGTAAAATGGTTCCCCATCCCTCCCCTTCCCCCGCCAACCCTCCCCGTGGCAAAAATCCGCAGCCGTAAAATGGCCGTGAGACAGCCGTAAAGTGGCGTGAAATGCCGTAAGATGGTTTTCTTCCACCCCCCGCCATTGTTCCCCCTGCCCCGTCAGCCCTACCCCAGCCCTCCCCACTGCACACACGCCAGCCCGCTGCCTGATCCCCGCCGCCCGCCCAAACCATACTATACTTGGAGCGAATAGTTCATCTTCTTTGGGCTGGGGACCCCTAGAGTTGCCACGAAGCCTCAGTGAGGAACCTTGTATAATTCTGTCTCACAGAAAATCAGACGCGGCCCCGTGTGCATGCGAATGCCCACATTTCGTGCTCATGCAATTCGTATTCCTCCCCGTCCTCCCCCCCCATCCTGATCGTCGTCCTCCTCCTCCTCGTCGTCCCCCTCCTCGTCCTCCTCCTCGTCCTCCTAGCCATCCTCGTCCTCCTCCTGTCCCAACTCGGTTTCCTATCGGTTGCACTATAGGTTGTGCCCATCGGCGGCTGGTAATAAAACCGTCTCCTATCGGTTGCGGCCTCGGCAGCTGATAGTCCCACCAGCCTTCTGGGCGTCGGTGGTTTAGTGAATGTTTGATCGATCTCCTCCAATATGGCCCCACGAAGCGCCCATGAGGCCCCAAGAGGTCCCAGGATGGCCCCAAGACGGCCCCAAGATGCCCCCAATATGCCCCCAGGAGACCCCCAAAAGGATCCCGAGCGGGCCCAAGACGCCCCCCCCCCCCGAGGCACCCAAGACGCCGACGATCCCCCCACGACCGCCAAGAGACCCCCAAGATGTCCCAAGACGCCCAAGAGGTACCCCAAGAGGCTCCGAGAAGCATCCAAGGGACCTCTGACCCTTTTGCTTGCTCTCCTCCTCCTCCCCCTCCTCCTCCTCCTCCTCCTCCTCCTCCTCCTCCCCCTCCTCCTCCCTTCTCATCATCCTCCTCCCCCTCCGCCTCCTCCTCCTCCTCCTCCTCCTCCTCCTCCTCCTCCTCCTCCTCATTGTATTCATCCTCCTTGTCCCTGCTCCCTCATCCATCCATCCAATTTTCTCCTTCGCCCCCTCTCTCCTTCACACGGCTCGGCCGCCCCCCTCTTTGCTCCAGCACTTCGCCCCTGATCACCTCTCAACTCGCATGGGCATCGTGTCTGGATGGGCTGGTGGGGATCCCTCATCGGCTGATAATGAAACCGTCTGCTATCGGTTGTGCCATAAATTGCGCCCATGGCGGGCGCGAGTAAGACCGTCTCCTTGTGCCATATGTTGCGCCCTCGGCGGCCGAGGATAAACGCGTCTCCTATCTGTTGTGCCATATGTTGCACCCTCGCGGGGAACGGTGATACAACCGTCGCCTATCCGTTGCGCCATGGGTTGCGTCCTTGGGTTTACCTCGCAAGAAACAAATTCGGGCTACGCTTGAACACAGCAGCCTCTGTTCCGTAGCCATTAGTGCTTTAAGGTCGTCGCCCCAAGCTGCTGACGCTGTGGCCCACACCGCACCTCTGGAGGCCATGTCTCAAGTTGCCCCTCCTGATCTGTCCGGCGTGGTGGCGACGAAGGGCGAGGTGATCCGCACCCCGCCGCCAGCACGTGAGAGGAGTACGCCTCGGATGGAGCTGAGCCGCCCTAAGCAGGCGAAGCCGATGGCCTCGAAGTCAGCCCCCGCTTCCAAGCCGAGCCTGGTCCGCCTGGGGGGGAAGACCGACGCGCTGGCGGCGGCCATTCGCATGCCTGGGGTACGCTCGTCCCCAGGCCAGCCTGCGACGTCGGCCGCACATGAGCAGGTGGCGCCAGTCCTCCCGGCGGCACCTGCCAGCGGTGCCACTCAGGTGGAGACACCTGATTACTACGACTGGAGGTCCGAGGCGCACTTGCACCAGCGGTTCCCCTCCGAGTACGTGTCGCAGCTTGTGAAGATGAAGACCAGGCTGAAGCAGTGCAACGATGGCATCAATGACGTGCGGCACTACTGGGTCAAGTGCGAGCCCGACGACGACGGTGCTGCCACGCCTTGCGGGGGAACGGCTACCCCAAACGTGGCGGAGATGCTGGAGAAGAACCTGACAGAGATCTGTTCCGAGATCGGCCTGCCCCTGGAGAAGATCGCGTCGGCGTGCGGCTGCGCGTCCCTGTCCGCTCTGATCGCCAAGCTCGCCGAGGGTGCCGAGTTCGAGGACGAGGATGACATGAAGCACGAGCTGGACACGTTGGTCCTTTGGGTGGTGGAGGGGGGCGAGATGGCGTCGAGCGCGGCGCCGAGCCCCTGCGCTGCGTCCGCAACCCCGGCTACGCCCCCGCAACGGCCCGCCGCGGCCGCGCCCGCGAGCGAGCCACAGCCGACGGCTGTGCCGAAGGCTGTGCCCGCGACCCCGACTACGTTCGCGGGTGCGCCGCTGCCTGGATCGCCTGTGCCATGTGCGACACTGTCCTTCAGCGAGTTGGGCCGCCAGCCACGGGCCAAGCAGCTTGCTGCGGCCGTGCCGTTGCCCGTCGTCATGGAGGGGTCCCAGGAGAGCATGCGCAGCGACATGGGCGCGGCGCCTGAGTTCCCCGACCTCGATGCCATCGACTCGGCTTTCTGCCCAGAGGAAGCTGGCGCGCCCCCTGACGACGCTGGCTCGGCAGCTGGCGTCGCAAATATGCTGGCCACAGATGAGGAGATGGTTGCGCTGCAAACGAGCTTCTCGTGCATGGAGGCGGGGGGCGGCTCGACGGAAGCCACTGCGCCCGGAGTGCTCGATCCCTCGGGGTGCGCAGCGGCCGCAGCGGATGCCATTCTCGCAGCAGCGCAGGCAGCAGCAACGGCGTCATCCCAGCCGTCGCCGCCGAAGATGCCTCGCTTGCTTCAGCGAGACGCCCCTGGCCAGCAGCAGACTCAGCAACATCAGCCACCCCAGCAGATTCAGCAGCAGCAGCCACCCCAGCAGATTCAGCAGCAGCAGCCACCACAGCAGCAGCAGCAGCCACCCCAGCAGATTCAGCAACATCCAGCACCACAACCACTGCCCGCCGCTTGCCCTGTAAGCGGAGCCCCAGGTACCTACCGCAACTCGGTGACGGACCCAGATCTGTATGCGAAGTTCGGCAGGCAGGTCGCGAACAAAGAGATCTTCCCCGTGGGCCTGAAGACCGAGTTGTCCACCAAGAAGAAGAAGACCGATCTCTTCAACCTTTGGCTCGAGCAGGATCAAGACATGCAGCGCGTAAGTGTGGTCATCCAGAGGCGCCTCGAGAATGAGCAGAAGGGCGAATCTGAGTACTCCTGGCTCAAGGCTCGGCAGATCGTGGCGCTCGGGATCTACACGGAGGACGGCGTGAAGAAGCTCATCGAGAAAAAGTTGAAGGAGAAACAATACTTGAGAGATGGCGAGTTTCCAGAGAAAGACGACGAGAACTACTACTATGTCCGCACTGCCCTCAAGAATACGAAGTCGACCAAGCAGATAGATTCCTTGAGTGTCTCCCACGCGACCGAGACGGACGCGCACGGGCTGCAGGCGCTCATCGGTGAGGGCGGGGTCCTGAACGCCGACATGCAGGTCCTCGTCGGGGACGCCAGCAGCGTCGACGCGTTCGACCTCAGCAGCGCGGTGCCCGGCAAGAAGCAGCCGCCCCCGACAGGCGTGGAGCAGTCCACGGCCAACGTTGTGGCGTCGGTGACGCCCTTGCAGAAGTGCCTCGAGATGATGAAGGACATGAGCAAGCAGAGGGACAATGCCGAACGCTTGGCGTTCGAGCTGGGAGCCTTCAAGCTGAGCACCGAGATGGAGAAGCAAATGGGGACCCACGCGTCCCGCATGAAGGTGGGGGGTCGCACCAACGATCCCTATGAGCCAACTCCTGGGGAGAGAACGAGCGAGGAGAGAGGGGGGATGAGGATGAAAGGAGGGGGGAAGGCGGAGGATGGAGATCGGGGGGCGGAGGAAGTACCCACTATGGCGTACCCATCTGTGCCTGAATGAGTCTCCTGAACCTGGCTCCTCAATACTATGGCGTACCCGACCCCATCGTCACTATAGCTTGAATCTGGCTCAATAGGGCACCTCGTGATCAATACTATGATGTACCCGACCCCGTCGTCACTAAGATCTGGCTCCTGAATCTGGCTCCGCAATACTATTGAGTACCCGACCCCATCGTCACTATGGTTTAAATATGGCTCAATATGGGTCCTCATGATCGGTACTATGGTGTACCCGACCTTGTCGTCACTAAGATCTGGCTCATGAGTATGACTCCTCAATATTATGGCGGACCCGGCCCCATCGTCACTATGTCTTGAATATGGCTCCTGGCTCCTGAATATATATATATATATACATACATACATACATACATACATACATACATGCATACATACGTACGTACGTACGTACGTACATACATACATACATACATACATACACATACATACACACATACATACATACATACATACATACCTACATACATACATACATACATACATACATACATACATGCATGCATGCATGCATGCATGCATGCATGCATGCATGCATGCATACATGCATGCATGCATGCATACATACATACATACATGCATACATACATATATATATATATGTATGTAAATGTGTATA